CCTTTGGAATTTCGTCCGCCATGATGGTGTACCAACTTGGAACACCAAGATGGCCGCTCCATACATTTTAACCAAAAATTGCGTCATGTTTACTTGCCTATAGTTTCRCAACGAAATGCTTTACAGCCTTAAAATTTGGCCAGTATATGTAGTTTGGACCGCTTTGCAAGAATATAAAATTTTTATTTCATTATAATGCGAATTTACGCTTTTGAAATTCATGATGACGTAGGTGAAAACCAAGAATAGAGATTAATTAACACATTTTAAAAATTTCAGTGTAGTAACATTAAATGATAAAAAGCTAAAAGTGTTTGATGAAATTAGAAAGGTTCCTATGGAAATGACAACCAAAGGCCATGGGGGGGGTACTCTTGCCCGTTTAGGGTATGGATGTGCTGTTGAGCCCTCTGAACCTTGACCCTGTTCCAGAGTAAAAATTCGCTGAAATTCATACCCTGTTCCAGAGAGGAGAGAGCGTGATTTCATATACCCTGTTCCAGAGCGAGCATGATTTTATATACCCTGTTCCAGAGTACAATTGCTGAAAACCATACCCTGTTTAACGGCACGTACCCGTATAGCAAATATAGGGGAGTACCCCCCCCTTCCCCCCCGGGCCAAGGACCTATTCTACCAGCCTCGCTATTGTTTTTCAGTACGTTTCAAATGCTTATAACTCTTCAGGGATTTATTAAAGGATAACAGAACTTTCTGAAATCACTAATTCAGACATGGTTTTCCTTATAATGAAAAGATAGTTTTGAAATTATTAATTGTTGATGTTCCCAGTTTTACACTAATTTTTCATATGGTTTAATATGTGAGTAGAGTTTTTAGTTGTAGCCAGTTCATTATTCTCACCCTGGGGGGGGGACTCCAGGAATGCTCGTCGTATCTCTTAGGGGTAAAAATTTGCGTTTTAGTATCTTTTATGGTGTTAAATGCAAATTTTTGAAAATCAGCATTTTCTGGTATCTCTTAGGGTGTCGGAAAAGAAGAGAAGCGCATATCGATATGGCTTATCCTAGGCACTTTTAATTTAATATTATTTGTTGTGGTATCTCTTAGGGGTTAAAAATCATTCAGCCACACCCTTTTTTAAAGACTTACAGTATCTTTTAGGGGTCTTTTTGAAAATTTCCAACGAGCATCCCCTGTACCTTTTTCCCGGAATTCCCCCTGGGTATTCTGACCTATGTTTTGCAGATTTTTCTCTGGATTTTTTTCCCTCAACAAAAATCAAATAAGCTAACTAAAAAGTTAGAGGAGGAATACTGAATCTTGTTAAAATTTTATATTAATTGTTTATCATAGACAAGGCTACCTGTTTATATTGCCCATACGCCAGCAGGAACATCTGTCAAGAATATGTACCACTATGCACAGGTAAGTAACTGAATGAATTGAGCACAATTTATGATGACTTGTTAACTTTGATTTAACAGATCAAAAACAGTTTTCCATGTTTGATACTCTGATCAAAACACGTGGGATGTTGAGAGAACATGAGAGGAGCATAGGAAACCACGACACGTAGTGGAGTGGTTTCCAGCTTCTCAAGTGTTGTCTCCCAACATCCCAAGTGTTTTGATCAAAGTATCAAACACAGAAAACTGTTTTTGATTTGTTTTATAAAATAACAAACGTGCGAAAAGATTGGAAAAAAAAGCAAATTCTCCCTACCTGCCGTCTTATTCAAACTGACCAATGAGCACGCTCGATAGATTAAAATCTGACAGTTGCATTACTCACGCGCTAAAATGACGATAGCATGTTTTGATACTCTCATCAAACATGGTTTTCGCCCAATCGTAACGCGTGTAGTATCCCAATTATTTTATAAAGTGACATATAAATTATTATTGGCCGGCCAATCTGTATGGACATTTACAATAGCATGCCCTTGGCTCGCCATCATTTAATAATAATGATAATAATAATGATGATGATGATGATAATAATAATTGGAGGTTCTTATATAGCACATTTACATTGTATACAACGTCTCAGTGTACTTTACGTACATGACAAGTGGAGGACTTTACGGGCTGCATATTAAGGTGCTATTAGCAGCGAGCGATTTGTTAGTACATTAGTGTTATATTGCCTCCAGACAGGGATAGTATAAAGTTTATGTATAAAGCCCGTGCATTTGTGCAGATGAGACATGAATGTTGTTTATGTACTTACTACACGTTTAGGAATACAAGAGACATTTCCTGAATTCACTTGTGTGACCACAAACCAATGGCTCCAAAACAAGGCTGGACTTAATGTGTTTGGACATTTACAGAATTTTATCAGGTCCAACCTCGACTTGCAACCATTGTTTTGTTGTCACTCATGCAAGTGATCAGGAATGGTCTGTTTTATGATCTACTAAAATATTTGAGACTCTATATTCTCACTGCCATACACCTTGATCATGAGCAAGTGATCTGCTAGCTAGTTTCTCCTGTTCTATTTATCTTTAACTCTAATGATGTTTGTTGACAGAGCTATCGTTCAAAGAAGTTTCAAAAATTTGATTATGGAACAGTTGGTAACAGGATAAAATATGGACAGGTAATTAAACCAATTTCCTTGTATATCATTGTTTAAACAAAATTTATAACAGTAGAATGCATCCCATGCTCTTTGGGAGGCCTAGGGGGGGAGGGGGGTGGGGCTTTCCTACCTGCTTTCCTCACTATGCCTCTTACAGGAGACAACAAACAAGCAACTTTACTCACATGACACCAAATCCCGGAATCGAACCCAAGTTGGATTGGTGAGAGGTGAGCAATCTCACCACCACACCAACTGTAATTCCCAATCATTTTATGGCCATATTATTTCAGAGATAGATGTTCTGCACTTACAGCTATGAATATAGGTAATAGGACTGTGCTGTCCAATTTGGAAATAATTGGATGAAAAAAATTCCAGGGACTGATGGCAGTCAGAGGAATTTTTTGAATTCAAGTATTTCCAAATTGGACAACAATGTAGTCTTGTTGCAGATTAATTATATCATCCCAAACTATACTACACTGATTCCAGAAGTCATAGAACTTTTCCCTCGAAAGAATGCGAATGGAAACAATCCAAATTAATCTTTAATTTGAACAGGAAAGAGAATTTGAAAATAATACAACAGTTGCTTATGTGGGATTATTGAGTGATGATATAGTTAGCTAACTAATTATACAGCTTCTCATTAATCCCATATAGGTAACTGTCCAATTATTTTCTTAATTGGACAAGTCTTGTTGATATGGGATTAATTAGGCAGCTATATAATTGATGGGTAATGGGATTTCATGCTCCCCAATCAAGAAATAATTAGACTCAAAAAATTCCTCTGACTGCCAAATAGGACTCGGCCTACGGCCTCATCCAATTTTGTCAGTCCTTGGAATTTTCCTCGTCCAATTATTTCTTAATTGGACAGCATGGAGTCCTATTACATATACTAATTTACAAATTTTGTGGGCGTGTTACATGGGACACTTCTAATCCATTAGTATATGTTGTCTAAATTTCCCCAAGTACCAACTAAAAATGTTTTCTCAATTTCAGGACACACCACCACTGTATAATCTATCTACTTTTACGGTACCAACTGAACTTTACTCTGGGGGTGAGGACTGGCTTGCTGACCCTAAGGATGTGAGTCTGCTGTGCAAAGCCATAACAAAGACTGTTGTGTATCATGAATACATAAAAGCATGGCAGCATTTAGATTTTATTTGGGGCCTTGATGCAGCTTCTCTAGTTTATGATAAAATTGTAAAACATATTAATGCTACAGAGCATTCAAACTATTTGATGTATAGAAAATCACACAACAATTGCAAAAGCCCTTATAGGTAGGGAGTACAATTTAAGAACTTTCAAAACAACATCAGTAACTATTAATCTCGTCTTCATATGAAGCTTCATGCGATTTTTAAATTTTAGTATACAGTTTCACACAAAATGGTCGAAGCATGGGCACTCTTATTTGTCTTTGACCAATTTTCTTATTCAGGCAATGGACTCTTCTCAAAATTATCTTCAATGCAAAGTTAACATGAAAATACTGCAAAAAAAAAAAAACCCAAACTTTTTCTCAATAGAATTTAGCATTTTTTTTGAAGTTCCATGTTAGCCTCGCATTCATAATAATTTTGAGGTCACTTTTTAAATGTAGCTAATAAAATCACTGTAGTATATAAAGTTCATACATTCTCTTATCAAGGTAAAATGTGATATACACTCAATTGAAGAATCGTTGTTGGGTTCAGAAACATAAAACATAAAAGCTGAGACCGAAATGGCACATGGGAAGTACGTTAATTAGATGCATGCTGTGACCGGCGACCCGTGGCATCATCCACTGTTTTTAATACGCGTTTGGCATTCTAAACCGACTGTATGGATGGCGCAAATGAATACATTATAATATAATTATGTCATTTCCCATGTGCCATTTCGGTCTCAGCTTTTATGTTCTATGATTCTGAACCCGACAACGATTCTTCAATTGAGCGTATAACGGCATGGTCTGCTGTATTTAGGTAATCAATCGCCTGCGCATGTGTCTGTGCTTCATTAATATTTATAAACATATACTAATGTAACAAATACTCGGGATGTAAATCTGGTTTTAAAAATAAATTCTTTTTTTAATAATGGAAAAAGGGGAATTTCGATAGCAAGTTGTTTTTAGTTGTCATTATATTAAGTTTAGTTTCATGGCATGGTAAAAATCAATAAAACAATAGTTCAATGAATTATATTGATATCATCCAAACATGGCCGACATGTGTATTGTGATTTCACTCTCTTGGAAATGATTGAATTCGAATTTTTACTTATTTGCTTTGGCCTACCGTTCACACTAGTCCGGTCGAATCCGGAACGATTCTTCACCGAAAACGAATTTTTTCGAATACGGTCTCCAGAGTGGAACAATTTGAAAACGCCGGCTAGCCGTATTAGTGTGGACGGAGAACATTTTGTATCCGAAATTTTTCGAATACGATGACGTCATGATTGTCATGGGAGCTAATTAGGAAATTACCTAATAAGTGCCCTGCAAAAAATTCGCTGCGGGCTCAATTTCAGCTTCGATGCACATGTCTATCACCTATCCGTGCCTATTGCCTTTGTCAATGACAAGGCTTTGTTGAATTAGGCCTATATCTACGTAGTCATAGTAACCAAGTTTCCTGAAATGAGAACAACAAAAAATAACAGGAATATAATGGTTTTTTATTACATTTAAAAATTATTAAAATAATGTATAATGTATTACATAAATGTATGTAAGTCACGTTCGAATATAAAATTTATGAATTTTGGCTCGAGTTTTCGCCCAGTCATGATTTTCTACATGTTAATCTACAGTCAATGGCATCTTCGCCCTATTTTACACCAAGCTTAGTTCAATGCTTGGCTCAGTAGATTCTACAAAAGGAAGAAAACTTATATGATATTTGTCATTTTTGTTGGATATTGATTATGAGAGTTCTTGTCCAAAAATATTAAAACTTATTAATATTTATTATTCAAAATTTTATGAGAGAAATATATAGGCAATGTATTAACATCACATATTACAATATATGGCTAAAAATATAGATGGATTATGATATATAAACAATTTATGCGATTGAACCAATTTTGTCTCATATTGTCAAATTTCGGATTTCAAAAAATTTCTCTGAGCTTTTACTGCCATTTTCACAAACATGCAAACTCTGTGTCTACGAGCTGCACCCTGAAATTTGGTTTTCGCTGACGACAGTCAAAAATATGAAGGGCACCGACTGATAAGGTTTTGAAGTATTCTGAAAAGTCATGAAAATAATTAAGATTTTATGGGACAACAGTGATGAGACAGGTCTGTTTAAACATTGTTTAGCATAATGATTATTACCAAAAAACTTTATATGTTTAGTAGATGGGGCTCTATAAACTACTTGATGACATTACTACAGTCCCAATCCATTTTAAAAATCTAGATCATTTTTTGTGCAGCTTTGATCTTAGATTAAGGACAGTTTTATATCTTTGTAAATAATTCTCCTGGGATCAAGGGAAAATTACCAGTGATTTTCCTTTGTCTTTGATTGATTAGCTTCCTACAGATATTAAGTTAAGAATGCATCCATAAGTTTGAATTATGTCAACTTGGATGGAAACATCGCATTGGATAGTTTTAATATATTGGTATAAATGTAAAATAAAACATAAAATTACCCGATACATACGTTCACCGCTATTGGAAATAAATCGTGCACAAGTCGGCACTTAGTCTCCCCCACAGCCGCTTTCAGTGTCGTCACGCAACGCTTTCATGCGTGACGACACTGAAAGCGGCTGTGGGGGAGACTAGTCGGCACTCYGCGCGCGATCTTTTCCCCCCTATACTGCAAAACAAACTGAGCAGTGAGACGTTCAAAGAACATCTGTTGCACGTCTCATGATCATAGCAACATTCCTTAAGCATGCAACAAGGTCGATGGAATTCGCGAGATTTTGTTGCCCGTATTTGTGCAACTTTTAAGTTAAAATCCTATCGTGAAACAATTCAATGCTGTGGCACTGGTGTCTCGAATAGGACGATTGGATACTAGTGGCTGAATGCACTGGAGACATTCTTATTATGAGACGCAACCTAGAGGGTGGATGAAGCAATGCTCTCCACATCAGATGTCATTGACACTGCATCCCAGTCGGCTGTAGACCAGGACTCTAGACTACCAGCCTTGCTTGGGGATGGGTTCTTCGCGAGTTTAGATGACAACAACTGCTGGAAGAAAACACACGCATCAACAATATGTACAAAACATTAAAGTCATACGAAGGTATCTGTTTGGATTAAGCAGTGATTCACTCATACGGAGACCATCAAGTTATGATGGATGAAGTTCGCGATTGATATAGACGCTATACCTACATTAATATTCAAAATACATAATCATATTATCAGACCCTTTGCATGTGACGTCAAAGCAGTTCTATCTGGAGGACAAAACAAAAGAATTCCAATCTCCTGAGAATTGGAACCTATTGTTTTGTCTCCCAGATTGAGCTGCACTCTAAAGTGCTGCAAGTGGTTTATTCCCATTTAAGAAGTGTCCATCATGTGTGATATTAATACAGGCATACAAACTAGTTTAAACAGGCTTTGGTGAGAACAAGTTCATCAGCTTTACAACTCTAGCTTACGCATCAAATTACAAAAAAAAAACAACAAACCTTTACCTTGCGCATTTTTGATTGCGATCCCTTTGTGTTTCCTGAGAACAAAAATTACATTACAATCATTAAGCTTCAAGTCAAAAAGGTGTATATTTTTGTTTATTCTCGTATTATTTCTTACCTTTAGGTGATTGCTGATTTCTGTTCAATACAATATCAACTTGTCTCAGTTTCTTTAACGAGCCAAGAACTTTGCTCTTGTCTCGGTTCCAGGGCCACCGCATTATGACCCACTTAGTGGGGCACTCCCAGGGTTCATTGCGCTCATAAATCTGGTTTAAAAGAAGAAACGAATAAGTTGCGCATTCCAGCCTTTTTCGACACACAGTGATCTCTGGGAACCATTGTATCATTCCCAACAAAATGGCAACTTTTGCAAGCAAAAGCTACTGGACGAAGACTGGACGTGACCCTCTTCACTACAGTTACGAGCGCAACTTAAAAAACATATCTTACAACCATCAATCCCCGTAAGGGGCTCCACAGACACTACCACTACGTTCACTATGTACAGTACACAACATTTACTAATTAAGTTTATACGGGTGGAAAATCCGCAGAAAAACCCTCGTAGCAAGGGAGAGAGAACTACACATTAACTAAACTCAACTTAACTGTCTTAAGACCTTGATTTTAACCCCACAAATGCTTTTGATGTAGTAGTGGTAATACGACTCCATTAGGTGAACTTTCAACTTCAACGAGCAGTGGCGGATCCAGGATATTTCAAAGGGGGGTTCCGTTTCTTAAACTGTGTATAATTCTCTTTTGTTTAGTCAATGTTTGACAAAACAATTGGCTCTAATCACCTAATTTACTATCTAGTAACGGACCAAGCTATAATGACACGACCCAACGCAAAACTACTAATATTTTTTTATTAAAATTTATATAAGATATATTTTTATTACCTAAAAGATCAAACCTTCRAGGGGGGTTCCGTGGACCCCTTCGACCCCCCTGGATCCGCCACTGACGAGATTTGGTATTCAGTTAGTAATGTATTTTCTAGTTTACCTTGCTTGAGTTTCTTAGGTTTTGGTGCAGGTATGGTATGATAGTGTAGTTCCAAACGTTAGCGAACCATCCTTCAGCAGCACACATATCCATGGGACAAGAATAGAACACTGATGGACCTATAAAAGAAAATCAACTACATCAACTACAGATGGCGTGTATTTCAGAAGAAAAGGACGAAAGACATCGCCGCCATGTTGGATGACTTGACTAAAGAAACCAAGACCAAATGTTTTGTTCCAGTCATCCAACATGGCGGCTATGACGTCACCTTCAAAATGACAAATGACATGGTCGCTATGTTGGATGACTTGACTAAAGAAACCAAGACCAAATGTTTTGTTCCAGTCATCCAACATGGAGGCTATGACGTCACCTTCAAAATGACAAATGACATGGTCGCTATGTTGTTTGACATAACAAAAGAAACCAAGACCAAATCTTTTGTTCAAGTCATCCAACATGGCGGCTATGACGTCACCTGCACAAGGACAAAAGACATGCCGTCATGTTGGTTGGTATTTCATCTTACCGATTGTAACATCGATGTCAACGTAAGATTGTAGGATTTGGTTTATTCTCTGCCAGACGTGTGTCAACCACAAGAAAAGATCAAGCAAGTCTTCCTCGTCTTCGCTGAAAACAAACAGAAAAAGGCATTGAGTATCGCGTATAGTGCAGTTTTCGTATGACTGTGAAAAACTCAGTGCCATAAGCGTGAGGTACCGTGACCGTGATGTTTTCTAGATTTTTAATTGGCTGATTTTTTCACGCGCAATGTGATTGGTATGGCATTGCCGTGACCTTGGCGTGACCGTGTCCGCGCCGTGTTTATGCCGTGTTCCGGGTATTTGATTGGATGGAGAGTAAATTCTCGTGCAATGTGATTGGTCTGGCGTATCCCTTGCCCTGTCATGGCCGTGTTCGTGCTGTGAGCTTTTCACAGTCATACGAAAACTGCACTATGCGCAGAACCACGTGCATTCGCTTCTCTCAACCAGAACCAATTAGCCAATCAATGGGTATATACCCCTTGCAGCACGTTGGAATGAAGCTCAATTTGGAGGACATAACAATGGTTTTCCGATTCTTAGGAGAATGAAATTATTTTGTTTTGTCCTCCAAATTGAGGTTACATGCAAGGGGCTTATTGTCAGGTCACGGTTATTGTCAGGTTTCTATAAGACGAGGCGAAGGCGACGTTTTTGAAAAGACAAGACCAATATCTTTTTATCCAGACCGAACCATCTCGGTTAATACAGTAGTAAAAGAAACTTGTACTTGATTTGGATGGTCGGTCAGGATTGCCGTAGGATTCCGACCACAGTAAGGCGACCAGTCGACCACCTTGGCATATAAAACAGCTCTTATTCATTTTTCTTCAACTTACACATCATCGGCCCAGCTTAATTTCCGTCTCAGAAATCTTTCCAGTAAACCAAGTACGAAAGGATCGTGGACAGCCAATTGAATCCACCTGTAACAAACAAAGACAAAATGACATGAAAGTAAATAACCAGGCACAGATGCATAGACCCGAGACGATTGGTGCAAGACATGATCACATGACACTGTGCAGACCCAGACGATTGGTGCAAGACATGATCACATGACACTGTGCA